GAAAAAAACCTACGTAACAATCCAGCAGCTGTGGTCTACAGGATACAGTTGAAATCCATATCAACATGATTCAGAATTTCAAAACCCCTGGCATATAGCGTAGAAGTGCTTAATTATCAATGGACACTTCAGAGGGAGCCTTTGTGAACTTGAATAGTTGCACATAGCTTACTCTTACACTATTGACAGATAAATAGAGCCCATGTCATGGGGATCTTTTGCTCTGAGAAACACTGTTTTTAACACAGGGACTTCAATACTATTTAAGCAGTCCACAGTGGATTAGCAGCAAATAAAAGGGATGTTCTATTGAAAAAATGTGGTATACTAGCCAGATTTGTCCATGTAATTAAAATAGATTCAGGAATATGAAGGTAAGAATAGGAGTGTTATTTTTTAGTATTTCTTCTCTCTTATGATTTCAATGTTTGGATATTGATGTAGTTTTGGACTTCAATATTTCAATACAGTAATATTCCTAAATTGTTAAAATTATCTATAACACTTTTTTCTTAAAGCTTGGTATAGCAGTTACAAAATATTACCGCAGCTTATATGTTCCTGCTGTGAGTCAAATCTGAACCCAGGTGTTAGGAAATAGTGTTGCTTTTTCATCTGAAGTGGACACCTGGACTCCTTATTGCATTTACTACTATTCTGTGATCCTCTTAAGTAAGAAACAGCAGTCAAGTCCTGTAATAAGCTACAGGAATTCTGACTCAGGTGGGACCAGGTAGAGCCTTGTGTATAAAGAACAGATTTAGGTTTTACCTTCACATCATACTCCATTAGGCAGTTAAAGTTTTTATGTTCTGTCTACTTTTCAAGGTATGATTTGACAGCTGCTAAATGAAGATAATAATGAACAATGATAATATTTAAATTATGCCATTAATATTTAGTATATTGGACAAAAAAGCAGGTATATTTAAGTGCATAGATTCTCGGATGAAATAGAGCAAATCTCAAATTGTTTTTTCCCCCTCCTACCTTCCATCCTGTCCATCTGGGTCATTTGCCTTACTAGTTACAGAAGTCAGTAGCACAGACATCAGTGTATTCTTCTGAAAGATGGGAAAATGGCTTGGCAAACTTAATGGTACATTCTGTTAAACAATTTTATTTTTTTTTTTTTTTTTTTTTTTTTTTACCACCTTAAAAGTGTTAGTGAGTGCTGGAGCTATGAAAGGTCCTTTACAGTTGGACTGTTTAGCCTTCTGTACTTTTTCTTTTTTTTGTCTTTGTACTCCAGTCATCAGGAAAGCCTGTTTCCACACACTGTACTGTGACTGCCTTTCTACCCAGTTCCTTTCTTTTTTTCTTTTTTTTTTTTTTTGTATTTTTATCTTGTCTGTCTGTCTTAGTTCATCTCTAACTTTTTCCACCATCTGTTACTATTCACATGCTCTCTTTTGACAATTTATCTTGATGTTCTGTTTTGTCTGACTCTATTTCCATTTGCACTTTCTTTAGCCTTTGCTTTTGGATTTGTATTTACATACCACAAAATTGGAAAGCAATGTATATTTTTGATATGTAGACAAATATGAGAGACGTATATGTCATTAGAAGTATTCTGATTTTGTAAATGTCTTTCAGGATGATGCTTGGTTGCTAGAAAGTACCTCATGCTCTTTGTCTTTGCATTGCTGTTGCCATAGTATTGCTATCAGTGCTATGGCACAAATGGCAGGCAGCATACAGCTATGACTATATAAATAGGTTGCTTTAAGAACAACACTTTCCCTATGGCATAAGATGTTCCTCTCTATATCTAAGCAGAAAACTTGAGTCATGTTGGGATTTTTTCCCCTTAAAGATCTGCTGCTCTGGAACAGTTTTTAAAGGTTCAAAACTGTTCCTAGAATTGTTGAGAAAGACATGTAAAGACAATGTTAAAATAATGTACTCTACAGAAGTTCAAGAATTGTAAGTCATTGTTGGTTGCTTTTCTACTTCAAGACCAAACAGTTTTCTGTCATAATACTACCTGTTACATGTCTATACCCTTTAGTAGTTCAGAAAAATCTACAGCAGTAAAAGACATTACAAAAAGTCATGTTAGCATTTATCTAACATGATTTATAACAATGTTGTTCTATTATTGTCACGTTTTAATGTATTTTTAATGAAACAAACATTCTTAATATAATGTTTCAAACTTTGTTATGTGTATTTTTATCTTTTTAAAAATTTAACAGTGTAATGCTAAGAAGTTCCACCCCACAGTTTTCCTCACAAACCTCTGAGTCCTGCTGTTGTTACTTCATAATCCCTAGAAAATCCACTGCAGTTATAACTGGAATTATAGGAAGTCTTATCAGTTATTTTTAATATAAATTATCTACTAGTACTATCACAACTTTCAGAATTGATTTGGGAAAGTTTTTCATGAACTCTTTAGACTATTTGATTTATGTACTCATCCTCAAATTGTTTTGTAAAACTTGATAGATAAAACACAAACTTACATTTTCAATGTTACTAAAATTTCCCGTTCCCTTAACACTAGAGAGAGGGGAGCAGTGTGGCATTAATAACCTTGTTAATAATCAAAAGATTTTTATAACGTAAGATTATTTGGAAGATGTATATGCATGACTACATAATATTTTTGTGTTGTTATAATTTATAGGCAATCGTTAATATTGTCACAGAAGAATTTGGGATAGGGACTGGAGTTTTGTTTATTTGTGAGTTTGGTGGGGTTTTTTATTCCCTCCTCTCAGAAGTGAACTGTAAGTTTAAAATATTACTCTGTAAACATCAGGATGTGAAGTTTTTTCCCCTGTTTTGTAGGTTTTCAGTTTAACTTTTAGTAGAGAAGAAAAAGTGACAGCGTACTGCTTTTCAGTATGCATGGAACATGGTACCATACTGAAATTTTGGGTTGAGGGGAACATTTAAATATTAACTCTTCAGTGTAACAACTCATACATTTTTATTGGTGTCTTGCATGGCAACAATGTAAATGTATTTATTTTAGTAATACTAGAAACAAAAATGTACTTTCCTGAAATAGCGAGCTTTCTGCAGGTTGAATGTACATGGGCAATTACTTTGGTGGGGTGACAATTGCTGGAGAGATGTATTTACAAAAATATAATACAGGTAATAAATAAAATCATAATAGTCAAACTAATATATTCGTACAATATCACCACAGTTCTTTCATTAAACTCCTGCTGCTACCATACTGATTATCATTAATGGTAACACTATCTGCTGATGACTTCCTTATTTACATATTTAGAGTTTAATATTATAATGGATTTATAAAATGGCTGTTTACAGTACTGTTTCTTCACTTCTGAATGCCTGTTTAGTGTTGTATTGTGCTGTATACTGAATTACTAAAGTGTTGCAAATAAGTCAGTGAATTACTAAAATACCACAGGTAATGCGGTAACTATGCCACATAAACTGCATATCCAGTTCTCACTCATGTCAGCAATCTCATTCAGGTTAATTGAATTACTCCAGTGAGAAATGCCTTTTTTCATAAGAGAAGACTTGCAGGATTGGATTTTTATTTCATGTTGCTCCTTTTGTATAATCATAAAGCCAGAAAATGCTTTAGAGTTAAATCATGCTGACGTGGAAAGATACAACTTGCAGATCTTGTTGGAATGTTCTGTATCTGTTACTTACTACCAATCAAAAGCAGCTTGCAGAGTTGAAATGGAATAGCAATATTAGGTGTTCCTAATCTGTTTTACTGCAAAGTCAAATGTTTTAATTTAAATTACCCTGAAAGTGGTACTGCTGAAAGGCAGTAACTAAGGGTGAAGATAATTACTGGCTTCAGTAATTTCTTCAACTACTGCAACCTGATCTGCAGGAGTAAATCAATCTATGCTATGACGGAGACTAAAATAAGAAAAAGCAGGGAAAAATTTTACATTTTTACCTGCACAATGAAAAGAATGTAGATGAGTTAGTACAGGTGTATTTGAAACAGATACTAAACTGGTAGGAGATAAATTTCATTAACTAAAAAAAAAATCACTTTAAATGGAACGCTTGAATATTTGCCTTATGGAAATGCTATTCTAGATTATCTTAAGTTCTGGAAGGGCAGAATTGTGCAAAGATTAGGCAAAGCAGTGTATTTTATACATGGTGTTCAATAGTGTTTTTGCTTTAAAGGTTTTCAGCTGTAGGTACATAGATATCTGTATAGACCTATAAGTCATCTCATCCTACTTCCATCTTTTGTGAGGTTGTTAACAATCTTAAGAGGAGAATATATTGTTATTCAGAAACTACGTTGAAAAGTACAAAATTTTCTTTTCTGCTAATCTTAAAGGGACTGTTGTATTAGTGTCCCTCTGTTAGATTTCCATGCATTGTTGGTTGAGGTTTACCAGACTCCAACTAGATAACGTTTTCTTGCCAGTATAAGTTCCCGTATTAAAAATAGCCAGATTTCTTTGCTGCTAACAAATACTACATAATTTTGTTAGTGCAAAACTTGGGAAAAAATTAAGAGAAGTGTTCTTGGTTTCCCGGTTCTGAGCAAGAGATATAAAAAGATCTGGTTCTCAGCAGATAGTTGCTTGCAAGCTTCTTACCTACTTTTTTCTTTGAAAACAAAAAGAATTGATGACAATGTGGCAGAGGATTCAAAGGAAGAGGTTTTCTTAAGGAGCAAAGGAAAATCTTGTGCTGGAAATAGGGATTTTCATATTTATTTGTTCATTCACTCTGATCCAGTTCTAAGGTTCTTAACTCAGTGCGCAGTAAACAGTTTTAAGTAAAAAAAAAAAAAAATTGTGCAAGAAATTTTACACATTTTAATGAAGGATTAAGTTAAATATCAGTTTATTAACAGGGTTTTCAAACAGTTCAGATTATTTGCTATAGGAAAGGCACTTCTTTCATGTCTCCATCACTTTAAGAACACAATATTCTGTAGATTTTAAAGAATTTTTTTTTTTCTTTTCCTATTTCCAGCTACTCTTGGTGTTCTACACGAATATTCATTAGTCATTCTGGAGATGGACTTGCTGTCTGGAACCTACCTCTTGGCAGTCTTATTAGCCTGTATTGTATTTCAATCTGGCGCACAGGAGAAGAATTACACCGTGCGGGAAGAACTGCCTGAAAATGTCCTCATTGGCAATTTGCTCAAGGATCTTAACCTAACGCTCGACCCAGATGTGCCCCTTTCCTCACCGCTACAGTTCAAGCTTGTGTATAAGACTGGGGATATACCATTAGTACGCGTGGAGGAGAACACTGGTGAGATATTCACAACTGCAAACCGCATAGACCGAGAGAAGCTGTGCGCTGGCATCTTTAGTGAGAATCGCTGCTTTTATGAGGTGGAGGTTGCTGTTTTGCCTGATGAAGTTTTCAGACTGGTCAAGATCAGATTTCTGATACAGGATATAAATGACAACGCCCCCCTGTTCCCCTCAACAGTTATTAACATCTCTATCCCTGAAAACACAGCAATTAATTCTCGCTATTCTGTCCCATCTGCCATCGATCCGGACATTGGTGTGAATGGTATTCAACATTATGAACTCCTTAAGGTGGGTTTCTTCCATTCTTCTATGTCACTGTCTGCGTTGCTGTCTTCCCGCAAACATTGCAAGTCCTCGCCAACCCGTTAGAAATATGCAGATACCTGTCTCAAAATGTTAATCTATGCCCCTGAGTGAGTTCCAGTGCATTATATCTTCACTTTGTGGAAAGCTGTTTATGTATGTGTGTGTCTGTCTATGTAACAGTATGATGAACCATGCGTGTCTTCATGGACTCTCCACCAGCAGTCAAAGTGTTTGTACATTTTGGCTAGCAGTCTTCTTAGACCATTAAGGATGTGTTCTTATTGCCACCAACATAACAGTGCCAAGTGCAACTATATTTTGTATTGTGTTTATGTGTCCCTCTTGCATGACTGCTAGAATTGAGCAGTAGACCTTAGCCCAGAAGCTTATGTGATGGGATACTCATCTCTATACTGATGAGCTATTCCAAAATGAGAGTCCATTTGTTGAAGCAGCTTTGTAATGTTTGGGAGGCATAGTGTCTGGCCAGGGGAAAGTCCAAGATGTGCATGAATAGCAGTACCAATGGCATTGTAAGAGCAGATATTTCATATTCTTGCTGCTTTTACCCTTTCTAGCAAATGACAGGAAAACTGCAATTAAGGAACAAAAGAAAAATAACATGTAAACATGGTGTCTAAGAGAGTGTAATTGCTAAATAAAGGATTACTTTCATTTGAGTTTACTTAAGTAGAGAGTTTAGAACAAGAAAGAAACATCCTAAAACTGTTGGGTTATTATATGGGAAGCTGAAAATGTCTTCACTTCCCTTGATTTGAAATAGGGAACTGTTGGGTAGTTTGATTGCTCAGCAATCAGTCTGACACCCTCGTTACTAACTGGAAGAATATAGACTATATAGGCTTGATTATATATTGCTTGATTAACTTGACAGCTAATATTTACTGTTATCAGTACTTACTAGCTATTTAATAAAGTGCTACCTTATTTTAGCTCTTTTTAAATTGCTTACAACCTGAAGTGGTTGTGGCAGTGTGGGTACTAATGACAAAGACATAAAAATCTCTTTCAGAAAACTGTGTCCCACTGGACACATCTGGTTAGCACAAAAACATGTCTGTCTGCTCTTGGTGTAGCCTACGAGTTCAAAACTTTTCAGGAACTTAGTAAGAAGTTTGAGATCTTTGTAGTAAGCTTTTTAAAAGTTTTAAATTTCTACGTTATACTGAAAGCAGACAGATCTACATGTGTGGGTGGTTTTTAGAGTTTTTTTGATAGATAACCAGAAGCATCCGGTAGGATGCAGGCTTCTTTATTTGGCATTTTAAATGAGAATCTGAGGAATGAATAACAGCATATTAAATAAATAACACTAGGAGTAGAAAATAATAAAAAAATCCAGGGCTACAGGCAAAATTGGCAAAATAATACATGGCCTGAGTATCAAAATGTTAGTTAATATATAAGAATGAAATTTGCTGTTGTTCTAGGAAAAGGGTGGGGGGGAAAAAGCAAAATCAGGAGTCCATGGGATTGAGTGCGCAACAGTTCAGATTGCCACGATACCGATCTTTTGGGAGTTTATTTTTGGACTGTGTGTTCAGAAACAGAATGTAACAGATCAGCAGAATGATAGCATATTTGTATCACACAAGTGGGAGCTCATCTAAAATACAAACTACAGCTCTGTACCAAAAGTAGTGTAGGGCATAAGGCCTTGTTGAAAGATCTAATGTGAAATGAGATTGTCTGCCAGAGAGCCAGGTTTCACTGAGAGATTTGCAAATACCTTTTTTTGTTGTTATTTGAATTAGGGGAAAAAAAAAACAAATCAACAACACACACAGTTGCATGTTTATTCAAGTGTCTCTGAAAAACTGCTTTTGCCATGTAAGGAAAAGAAAGGTGATGTGGGTGAACACACACTGATATGGACTGGAAGTTCTGAATTCTTGTGCTATATGTGCCACAACCAAAATTATTTGTAAAATCACGGCCCTGTACACAGATCTCCTAAATGAGTTAATTGCATTTTTCTCTTGCATGCCTGTTGGTCAGGTACTTTTTGAGTTATGTATCCACTACCTTTAAATGAGCCAGCAATTTCACATACCTTGGAAAGTATCTGTAAAACCAAGAAGCAGTTTATGACAGCCAGACACTGTTTGGAATAATGTCCAGATGTTATTCCATTGGTAGTTTTTACAATGTTAATACCAAAAGTGATCATATAAGAAGGGGGGGCAGGAGAAGTAGTTGAAATGAAGGATTCTGGTGAGCAGGCAGGGAACATAGCACACACACAAAGGTACATCTGTCACTGGGGAATAACTGGAAGATGAAAAAGGAAGGAAAGAGTGGTGGTACACGAGTTCTTTCCTGGGTAACACTGGAATACTAGGAGGGAGGGTGGCAGGCACACAGGGATGCTGCTGCTTGCCTTTTCTCCCAGAACACTCTTCTCATGTGTTTTCCTGTGCTATTTATTGGAATGTGCTCTAAAGATACTAATGTCTTCTGTCTTGTGATGTGTGTTGACCTTTTCCTTCCTTTTATAACCAGCATACAGAGAAGTGGGGAAACAGCAGCACATGAAGCTGTCTTGTCTTCTGAACAGGATGGATCTAGCAGGGCTGATATGACGGTGTTGTGGGGAATTTTGGGAAGCACCAGATACGACGATGATGATGGGCAGGACAGCATACTTGGAGGATGGTAGAGGAGTGGGAGATAAGATATGCAAGTCACTTCGTAGAAGCACAAAGGCTGATACTTTAGTATGCATGCAGCAACAGTGAAACGTGTTTTAGATAAAGTAATAGCAAATTGACAAGCTGTGCAATGAAGAGAAAGTTCTTCAGTTACATTTCACTTTTTAAAAAATTTGGCTAAAATGTGCTTATTATCAGTATAAAGCCAGGCCTATTTTGCCAGAAGATAAGAGATTTTTGCCATAACAATTTCTGAAAAAGAATGAACTGCCCACTACAAACTCAGCTGAATAGTTTATAGGTTTTTAACACATTTTCAGCAACTCTGTATCTTGATGGGAAGGTAACATTCATGTCTTGCAATATTTCCTCACTTTGTTACACTTACTGTACTGCCTCTCTCAAACTAGGGGAAAAACTTTGCATATAATTGTTGTATTCAGCATCTTTTGCAAAGTAGATAATTAATGATAAAGTCTTTTAACTATATGACAAACTTTAATGTTATTTTAATCTCCTGCCTATTTGTAAAAATCCTTTTAAAAGAGAAGAATACAAAACATCTCAGAAAAAGTATTCTTGTATGTTGGGTTCAGCATTACTTGGAAGTTTTGTAACACAGGGTTTGATTTATTTAATACAAGAGTGTGCTTTAATTAGCACATAGATTAGTATTCAGGTATTTTTTGCCGGCCTGCATTTTCTGAAAATGTACCTCAATAGAAAATAACTTCCTTTGCAACTTGAAAACTTTCTCGGTGTCTGAGAGTCAACTCTACGCTGTCTGAAATGCATCAACTCTAAAAAGACAACCGTTTTATGTAACTTCTGCATTTCTTCTTGTAAGACTTACTTAGGAGTTATGTGGAGGTTCTAAGAGATATTTGAAGGAAAATAGTGGTTTTATTTTTTATTTTTTCTAGAGGAAGATCCAAACATATCTTCTGCATAGCTTTTGAATTGTGCTTACTGTTTCCTTATTTAGAAAATGAGCTGCAACAATTGGCAAATATCTCCCACCCAGCCAATGTAATAGCACTAGTAATTGACCAAGAGTTGCTCTGGTAGAAGTTTACAAATACTGAATTATTTAAAAGTAGTGATGCTTTAACACTACATGAAGTTAGTTAGTTATTTCTCCATAGAAAAGAGGAAAGAGTCATGCAAGGCATCTTGCTGTTACCCAAAGAAGTTGTTGTGCATAGCATTATAAAAGATGGTGTTTCTGTGCTGAGATGCCCAAAGCTGACAATGGATAGGATGACATTAAGGGTTCAGATGGCAAATGGTAAACAATGTTTACTCCGAACAAGGTCAGGGATGGAGAATTTAATTAGATATTATTTAAAAATAAAAGAAAAAGCATTCAGAAAGAGAAATCTCTCCATGTCTAGATTGGGCAGAAAGATGGCATGACACTGATAGGAAGTGGTAGAAGAGGCAGCAGCTAAGACACATAGTGAAGTAGTTCAGAGAAAGAAATGGCCAGATGGAAAAACAATGATTTTGTCTCAGTTGACATAACTACTTAAAGTATAAACTGGAAATAACAGGGCAAAAGAGACATGGGCATTCATAAACAGTAGTATGTTAAAACAGCAGTATGCAAGAGCAAATTTTAAACTGAAATGTTAATAAGCAGTGATTTCTGATTAGGAATGAATCTACAAACACTGCTGTTGTGGTTTAACCCCGGTAGGCAGCTAAGCTTACAGATCTTTGTTCACCTCTTCAGGGCGTTCACATTGCTTACATAATGCTATAAAATGTACATTGTGTCTGGCAATACCACCACAGTGTTAAAAATACAGGCTGTTGTTGATTACACTATTTCAGCACATTTACATTTGAGTTCAAGGCAAGCTAATGTGTAGTATAATATACAGATGACACAGGCCTCTGTTTTGACTATGAAGATTTTAGTGTGAAGCATTTCTTTACTCTCTTGGATGTTAAAAAGGGGGAACTGTTTCAGAGCAGGTTTTGAATAGAATTCCAGCTTGGAGCACTGTAATAGAGAGTCGCATGTGTACTTCCAAAAGGATGCATACAAGTGCGCGTTTTAATTATTTTTTTTTTATTTGTTCCTTAGCATTTTTGGTCAGCTAGGCATACCATATACGCTAGATGTTGCATAGGCACAACAAATACCTGGTTAGCAGTGGACTGGAGTGAAAGGATAGCTCTGCTCTTACAGGAGCAGAGCATTTTCTTCTGTGAGATAATCCTGTGTGCTAATAGGTTGTTGCTTTAATCTGCCGCAGTTTGGGGGAAATGAAATTGATGTAACTGTTATAGTTCCATTACTCTTACCTATTACAGTAATTTTCCTGTATTTACTTATCATCAGAAGCAGCTGGTGCATTCCTTCTAGAATAATATAATAATCTTTTTGTAGCTGTCAGTTCATAACTCTGTAATCTGACAAAATAGATTCTTACTCAGTCTCACAACACATCAGTCTTGCCTCTGATGAGGAGAGTACCTCTTGCTACTGTAGATCATCTCTTGTGATGTCTTTCAATAGGAGCTTTCCCCTTCTTTCTGATACAGTTCATCTATTCAGTGTCCTGTGGAAGATGGAGATCACAAATCTTTATCATATTTCAGGTCTGCTCTTGCAACTAGGTTATTTCTGAGCCTCAGAGTAGTTCTGGATCAAGTAACTAATGTCGGTGTTTGTGAAAATAAAGAACGGAAGGAGATGTATTTTATGTAAAATGAAAACTAGGAAGGTAGTTGAATCAAAATTAGAGTGAGACTAGATTTGTAGTTAAGTCAGAACCAGAAAGCCAGATTAATTAAATCATTGTTGGTATCGTAAGCAGTGGTACAAATTTAGTAGTCAGAAGCACTAACAGTGGAGGAGGACTAACAAAACTTTTCCATGACCTGTTTGTGTTTTAATGTTGCACCAATACTGAGTGGTTCAGTACGTAGAGAAAAAGGAAGAAGGCATGGTTAATGTCCCTGCAAATGCAGTGCAGTGACACAGACTTACATTTTTAACACAGGTGTTCATCATATTATCTTCACCGTCCCAAGGATCAGCTGCTTGAATCTCTCATTTCTTTCCTTTTTTATGCTTTCATTCCTTTAAGTAGAAGCTGAAGCAGCAATCCTCACTTGTACTGTCAACCCATGTTTGGATGAGGGAGCATCCCACAGCTACTCATACTGAAATTAATGTGGATGATTCTTCAGTGTAGGCTTCAGTAGCATGAGAGGACAATTAAGTGGTATATTGGCCTTTTAAATAGGACACAGAAAGCCTGGGTGACTATCATCAACATCTGCCTTCTGTGAAAAAACTGCAAGATAGAGCTTTTTCTACATGTAAACAGACATTTATTAATATTGTCAGGTCTTACTGAATATTGCAGTTAGACACTAATAAGGTTAGGTAAATTCTACTTTCATTACTCTTCTGTTATCAAAAATCCTTTGTAAATTTATTGTAACTCACTAGTAGCAAAGAAATTTTTTCCACTTTCTATTTTTTTTTTTTTTTATTAGCAACACTTTCTAGTAATTGTTTAAGGGACATATGGCTGAATTGTAAAAGATGGCTATTCAAGGTCCCAAGAATTTTCATTTTACAGACTTATATATACTCAGGAAAATACATGATTCAGATTGGAAATTTCTTGACTTCCTGATAAGACGACAACTTTTCAGCATTTATTTCTTGTCATTGGAGAAAGGCTAGTTGATCAGTGATATTTCAAGATTCACTCACAATAAAACAAAAATCAATTACATGCGTATTGATGTCCAAGGTAACAATAGTACTTAGGTATTTCAACCTAAAACTGAGAAATAATGATTTTCTTCAAACAAATCATAGATTTGACAGTGCTTATATACAAGGTGAAAATAAGATGCATGTTAAAAAAGCATTTGAATGTTGGGGGTTTTGTTTGTTGGTTTTGTTTGTTGTTTTTTTTTCCCCTCCCTCTGACATGTAGCTTAGACTAAGATTTTGAGTTTCTGCTTGAATGGGGGGTGGCTTGTTTTTCTTACTTCACAGTCCCTTAGTGGAATTAGCGTAGGGATTTCATTCAGCATAACTTTGCAGGACAAGTTAACTTCCATCTTCATTGTATTGGCTCATACAGATTATACTTCATATATTTGTGGAACAATACTTCTTTCCCATTTCACGTGCCAGCATAGATGGGGAAGGTAATAGATTTAGGGAGCACAAAAATAGATACAGGATTTTTTTTTTTCCTCTGGAGTTGCACTCCAGTCAAGCTGTAAGGTGACCCTCTAGTGTCTGTAATTTAATAATTATGGAGAGTTGGACATGTTGTCTTTCTAAGGTAACTTTTAGCTGCCCTTTAGAAGAGAGTGATTTTCTAGGACAGGCTGTCTTTTGAATGGTACTTTTTTTCATAAGTCCACAGTGGCAGTGAGGAATAAGTCAGAACTGAAGCATCTTTCCCTTGCTCTGTTACTGCTAGAAGATCAGTGTATTTGTTTGATGTTATAACATAGGTTCAGGTTTTTTCACATGGATGGTTCCCTCTCCCTGTCTTTTCCACTGAGATGTGGATAATTACCATCTGAAGTGACAAAAATTTCAGCAGTCCCTTGAAGACTTACAAATACTACTTGATAGGATGGCTAACTGAACAAATAGATGTTGTTCATAAAACTTATGTTATTTCCTTTTATATACATTTGTAGAGGTTGAAATGTCATTGCAGATTTCTTTTAAATCTTGATGCACCTACCTACCAAGTAATTTAGGATTTTTTTATTCTGTTTGTTTTATTCTACTCATGAAGTGGTAATGTGCTGCACAACAGGGCTAGACTTGAAAGTTCATCTTAGCTATAGGGGAGTTCTAAGTGTTAGTAAAAAGGCTCAGTTCTATGAGAGATTGAGCCTCACAGAGTCTACAGCTATTCACAAATACATGACGCTTCCCACTGATTATGTGGTTTAGTTAATGTTGTCCTTCATGCTGTTGTGTCGAGTTTGAGATGCTGACTCTGT